CGCGTGCTACAAAACGTTTTAGTCAAACATTTAACCCTAGAACGCCTAGGGGGGGGGGGGGGTTGTATCAACCCCCCCCCCCTGAGGTTTTTTCGAAGTACACGCTAAACGGCTTGTCGTAGCGGGCTGAAATTTTCAATGCCCTCTGGGGCAACCTTTGCGCATCTTTTGCCGAAAAAAAATTGATCGGGTCATGTCAGGTCACGGAGTTATGACGTCATAAGAGGTACAGCCTCCGGCCGGATTTTCACAAACTGAGTGCCAACGCCCGAGGTTTCCTGCCGGTGGTACAGACATCGGTTGATGGATCGTGATGAAACTTCCCATGCATGTTGGGGCAAGTATTGGCTATCATATGGTATAAGAAATTTGACCGGGTCAGGTCAGGTCACGGAGCTATGACGTCACAAGAGGAACAGCGTCCGGTACTATTTTTGAAAAGCGCCCGAACCACTATTTTGCTAATTCTTGTCACCTCAATGGGAATATGCAGCAATATTAGCTTCTATAGGGAGCAAATGGACCTCCCAAATCCAAAAATACAATCAGATTTCAAAAATTTAAATTTTGATTTTTCGAATTTCTGCCGCCGACTGTGACCTTGCCGACTTCCGGCGCTCCCAACGCGCCATTTTTAGAGCTAGGGAAACGAAATACATACCAAACGATAGAGAATTGATCAAGGAACACGATAGTGAAGGTTTCAAGTCGATATCTCCCACCGTTTTGCCGCAATCGCCGCCGAAAGTTGAAAAAAGTCTATTTTTCCGAAAATTTGACCTTTGACCGGTCAAAAGTAGGTCAAATGTTGACCTAGGACCAAAAAATATACCACCAATCGCGAGATCTCGTTGAGAGCAATCCGTTGGTTTTTTCCGCTAAGCTCTACGACCTTCCGTTTCGAAACGCCAGGGGGGGGGGTCGTAACAACCCCCCCCCCCCCCCTGGTCGTTCGTGTTATGAGAAATGGCCTGGTCGTGCGAGGGTTAACGGACGTTCGAAAGCCTGATGACGTCATCAGATTCCCGTAATGGTGGAGATAGGGACCACGCTGGTCCCACCCTGCAAGTAAAGGGAAGAAATTTCTTGAACACCATAAAGCTGCGGGGGTTGCGACCTGGATAACTGGTAGTTTCTGAGCCTGGCCGCAAACTTGGCTATCTCAACTCAAAACTAATGTTAAGGTGGGAGGGTCCCTTTAAGCAGCTGGTTTTATAAGGACATTGATGATCGAATCAGACATGGGAAGAAATGACTAAAGGAGACAGGTATGAAATTGCTTGTTTACACATTTGCGTCCTGTCCTGAATATTCAGCTTTCACTGTAAATGTTCACGGATATTTCAGCTTCGTCGGCAAGCCCGCCTCCGACGGGAGTATCTCTACAGAAAATCCATTGAAGAGAAGCAAAGAACAACCCAAGATAAGAAGGATCGATTAAAAGCGGCACTAGCAGGTCTGTATGTAATTTATTTTTGTTGGTGATGCATCCTTTTCATAGCATTAGCTACATACTGTTCAATTAATTACTATGAACGTCAAACCCCTTGAGACCCCACTTTTTTGCGATAATTTTTAAGTGCGTCAACTTTCGTTGACAATATTCTGGCAATGTGTGTTTCAGAACCTGCCGAAACTTTTATTACTAAGGTATTTTGACGCCAAACGATTATGGAAGGTACTTCTCATTCACTCGTAATGCTACGGTCAATTCAGGCCCGGGCAGAGGCTTGCGCTCGGCCACACTCGAGCCCCGCTACCAGCGCCATCTGCTCTAAATGCCATCTACCAGCGCCCGCTACCGCTACCAGCTACCGCCCACCATCAAGCCTGAATGGAGCGAGAGACGCGAGTGACCGGTCGCCGGGCAAGGAGCGCCGGAGGGGTAGGGCGGAGCTTAGCGCTGACGTCATTGCGTGGCTCCGCCCCATGAGCGCGTAGCCTCTACCCAAACAGCAGATTCGTTCCGTGAAATTTAACATTACGAGTGAATGAGAAGTACCTTTCATAATCGTTTGGCGTCAAAATACCTTAGTAATAAAAGTTTCGGCAGGTTCTAAAACACTTATTGCCAGAATATTGTCAACGAGAGTTGACGCATTTAAGAATTATCGCAAAAAAGTGGGGTCTCAAGGGGTTTGACGTCCATAGTAGTTAAGTGTTTTCATGCTATTTTGCCCAATTCAATACCAGAGGCCCTGATGATTCGCCCTTCATATATAATGCTGTTAATGTGATGTGTTGAAGACTTTAAGCTCTAATGTCCTAAACAATCACCTCTATCTTTTTCATCCACCCTCTGCTAGTTCTCCAAGCTCTCACTGCCTCCTCTGACCGATGGCGTCCACCCGTGCCTCCCGCAGAGAACCGGCCCCTGGAGACGGACCTGCGCTATGAGGGCCTGCGTCTGCACGAGCAGGGCGAGTGGGACGACGCCGGGCCGCGGCTGGCCACCGAGGCCGGCACCGAGCAGGGCGGCGCCTCCAGCTCTCATGTCGACGATGAGTATCGCTGGGCCGGCGTGCACGACCCCAAGATTATCATCACCACGTCACGGAACCCCAGCTCCCGGCTCAAAAAGTTCGCCAAGGTACGGGCGGGAACGGCAGTGCTGGGGTGTCGTCACGAAATATGCAGTCGTAACGACAACGTAGCGTTGGCAGTGTCTATAAGTTGTTCTCATGTCGGGTTTGCTGATAGTTACGCTTGTGTTGTGGAAAGGCTTGTTGCCATCGGGATATTTGCCGTACGAACATGTAGCATAGAACCGCATACCGTTCACTTATCTGACTCACCAACCTGCCTTTCCGTCACCCCAGGAGATGAAGCTCATCTTCCCGAACGCGCAGCGGATGAACCGCGGCGGGTACGAGCTGGGGCAGCTACTGGACGCGTGTCGAGCCAACGGAGTCACCGACTTCATCAAGGTGACACTCTGGTGGGCGTGGATCGTCGGTTCTCGGTCCTGGCATTGTTCACAATGCGAACTGGTCACTTGACACCCGCGGGGACACACCGCTTCTGACACTACCGAGACTGGACGGTCCGGGTCCCCTGACGGAGGTGGATGGTTGGGACGTGTCGCCGTCTGTTTTGCTGGCTTATTACCTTCAACGGTTGTCAGTTACTCGTAGAAAGCCGATTGGCAGATTTGCATGCGAGCTTGTTCGTCCTAGTTAGTAGTGCTTTGTTGCTGCAAATATTTGGTGTTTTGTGATATAAGCAATGACCGTTCTAAAATGTAACCCAACTGAATTATAAGTCATTAGCCAGGATTCCCTTTTGATTAAACGTAAAAAAAAATATATACCATGTGTCCGCACTCTGTTCTCTGCTTTGATCTTTCTACTTCGACCCTGTGACTCCAGTCTGACCCTCTCTCCCACCCCCTCGTCAGATAAACGAGCACCGCGGCGAGCCGGCCGGCCTGACGGTGTGCCACCTGCCGTACGGACCGACGGCGCACTTCACCCTGCTCGACGTGGTGATGCGCCACGACATTCCCGAGATCGGCACCATGTCCGAACAGTACCCGCACCTGGTGTTTCACAACTTCAAGACCAAGCTCGGACGCAGGGTGAGCGGGGGCGGGGAGGAGCGCAGACGAGGCAGGGAGGGAAGGAAGGGGACGCCTTGCCCTGGTTTAGAGGGTGCGCGCGATGGTCCGCTGCCACTGCCATGGACTAGTGTATAAAGTACCGATTTAGGTTGACCTTAAGTCCGCATTTATCGGATCCTTATAGAAAGTGATAAGGTCCGTAGAGGCTGACGACTGTTGTATCGCGTTCGGCAGGTCCAGGACATCCTCAAGTACCTGTTCCCGGTGCCCAAGGAGGACAGCAAGCGCGTGCTGACGTTCATCAACCACGACGACTACATCCTGTTCCGACACCACACGTACCGGCGGGCCGAGGGCGGCGGCCGCGAGCTGGAGCTCAGCGAGGCCGGCCCGCGCTTCCTGCTCAAACGTGAGGCCGACCGCCGCGACACCTGGTCGGGAGTGGAGCAGGGAGAGGGGGGGGGGGGAGTTTAGACGCAACGGAGGAGCATCGTCCACTTTCAAGCATATGCTATAATTGCATATGCTTGAAAGCATATGCATATGCTATTCATTATCTAATTACTCTCTTTCGACTATGTTTTGTGTCGAGTCTTTTAGTTTTGAGTACTGTAAGTAATGTGTAATTCCCAACAGTAACCCGCGTCACCATGGCAAAGATCGTGTCCCCTCACAGCCCCCCCCTCCCCTCCGGTGGTGTACTTACGAGCCCCTCCGTGTCCCCTCACGTCCCCCCCCCCCGACCGTGTCCCCTGACAGCCCCCCCCCCTCCGGCAGTGTACGAGATCCGTCTGGGTACTCCGGACCAGGGCGTCCCCCCCCCGACCTTGTCCCCTGACAGCCCCCCCCCCCCCTCCGTCCGGCAGTGTACGAGATCCGTCTGGGTACTCCGGACCAGGGCGCGGCTGCGGAGGTCGAATGGGTGCTGCGGCCCTACATGAACACGGCTCGTAAGCGGCGCTTCCTCTCTGACGAGGACGCCTGGGAGCCGGCCGCAGAGGAGGGAGACGAGGACGAGGCGTGACCCGACCTGAGGTCAGCGGCGCCGGGGTGGGGGACGTGACCTGACCCGGGGTCACTGGGAGGGAGGGTGAGACTGTGGTGGGGGCCTGGTGACGTGTTGTTGGACTCGTGTTGGAGAGGACGTGCCGTGTTCGCTGGTACGTCTGGCGGCGATGAACTGACTCCCTCTGAACTCCGGTGGCCGGAGCTCGGACCACTGAGGCCGACCGATCCAGTCAGTGTCACACTGTATCTGGCCTTCACCGTCCACTATTGCAATTGTTTGTATCATCTGTACAATCGCCTATTGCAAATGCACACTGTCAATTTGGTACATGCGTATAGCGTTTGGGATTTTGAATGGATGAACTTGCCTGTTGAAAAAAAAAAAACTAATTGATCATTCCTCAATACTGACACAGATGTACAGACAGATATACTGACACACATTACATACACATGCTTTTATTTTTAATTCCAGAAAAATATTGATTAAATAGGTAAATAACATATATTCACAGGATGTGCGTTTTACGTGGTAAAAAGTATGCCCATGAGCTTCTGAAAGTGGTTCAATTTGAGCCCGTCTTTCTGTGGTTTTACTCCAATAATTTGCGGGTTCAGCACGAGTGATCCTTGGCTTTGAGACCTCCTCAGAAGGTAATAACGTGTCGGCAGCTGGGGGCCAATATGGCCCCTGCACCACACGATGGACCAATATGATCCACTCTCTTCTATCAGCTGTTCCTGACTCCGTCGTCCCCAGTCCGGCTCCGATGGCGCGCTGCTCACCATCGGCTACTCTTCTTCCTTATGAAGGGGTCGGTATGTAGCGGCACTGCAACGGCGTCTTCCATTGCTCGCTGTCCTCCCATAGCAAGCACTCGGAGACGCGGTGCTACCGGTGGCGGCGCCCCTTACGGCTCGCTGTCCTCCCAAAGGAAGCGGTCGGAGCGCAGCAGTCGCGCCAGCCGCCGGTTGAACGGCCGGTAAAAGTCCCTCAGCAGTCGCCTGGTCTCCGGCAGCATGGTCTGGTGCTTGAGGCTCTTCCGGCGCACGTTTTTCGGACTGGCGGTGCGAATCTCCTCCCAGACCGTGTCCGCAGGAACTCCTGGGGGTGGGGACGGAGGGGAGGGGCGGTATTCGCTCAGACAGCATAACTTTCAGTTGAGATTGACGACAAAAGTGTGTGAAACTGATGAAATGGAAATGAAATGGACCGCTTCAAATGGAAATGAATTGAACAGGCGCAAAATGACCTGAGCAGTCGGCTTATCAGTCGACCTTAATAATAAAACACGGCATTCACTATAAGATACGACGCTTTATAAACGGATTACGCCCAGCAGCTATTGCCGGTTTGACTGCGCTGTTGGATGGTCGTCTCACCGATGTCGAGATGGTTGAACAGCGCGTGGAGGCTCTGGGTGATGTTCCGACGGTGATCCTCTGTGCGCAGTACCAGCACCTGATCTCGACCAAACTCCTGCAGCCAGGGCCGGAGGTACACCGCGTACAGTCCCACGTGCAGACGTACCTGAGGAATCGGGGATACGCTGTGAAGCTGCCATAATTTAACTTGATCTAACTTGGATCTAACTGTCGGCGTTCCGCTCGCCTCGCACCATTAATCGGAACAACTCCCTCTGCTTTAGCAGCTGTATTATCCCGAGCACCCCCCCCCCCCCCCTATATTAAGCAGCTCTTACTCCTAACTGAACATTCTGACCAGTCGGTCCAGTCCACAGGACGTTGGATTTTCGTCCGGCTGTAACCTGGACTGCCCGACCCTCCCGTCGGACGGGCGGAGCTCACCCCTAGTCTGTCGATGACCCGCCGGTCGGTGGCGCAGTCGTTCTCTGTCCGGCTCCTCGTGCAGTTCGTCCACATGCCCACCGCCCGCTGCGCCATCTGGTGGAACTCATCGGCACTCTTCTCAGAGTCCCGTTGCGAGTTGAAGTAGAGGTAGTCGGAAAATAGCCTGCGAGGTTATTGGATGCTGTTATATGTTTCATTTTGACGCGCATTGGTATGGTTCATATGACATTTGATGTGTCAGCTCGTTGATTCGGCCTACTTTTTACCTTGTTTTCACGGGTCGGTGGGTATGTTGTTTCCCTGCAAATCCCGCTGAATAAATGCGGCCAATGCAGTATATAGTTGCATACCCTTTGTCTGCCTGTTGAAAGGGCTCACGATTAGATACTATCAGCCGCCAGTGACAGGTTGCCCGGGCGCGCCCAGCTCACCTATCTGTCGGCTCCCTCAGAATGGCCACTATGCGCGCGGTGGGCTGCAGGGCGGCCAGGCCGGCGGCCGTGGTCTCTGCCAGCGGCGGGTACTGCTCGGCGGCCAGCGCCGGTCGGCGGCGCGCCTCACGCAGACTCCGCTCGTCCCACATGGTAGAGGTGCTGCCGTCCACTGGGCGACAGCGGGCGCCCCGGTTAGCGGGGTCCTCCGGTCACGACCAGAGGCCTACCAGACAGTGGAGTCGACAATTGTATACTGTGGTGTTTATTCATGCTGTTCATGTCTCTGGCCTCTGTTGCCATGAAGCACAACATAACATCATTTGCGCCATGCAGCTTTGCTCGTGGGATACGTGCATGTCAAGATAATGCATTGTCGTGTCGATTTTTTCCTGGCTTGTCGTTTGACGCTCATCTGCCTTGCAAAAAGCGTGCAGCAATCAGCCGTTGAAATTGCTACACCGATAGGTACAGCAATCACCAAAACGTCATGAGACTGGTTGCATCTCCTACCTACATCGCTGTTGGGTGTGTACTGTGTACTATTTGTCTCTGATCGTAATCTTGTCGGTACCAAACATAGACCTAAGGTCCAATTTCGCACGTGCCGTGAGCGGGATTTGGCAGCACTGTCTTGATTTTTTAAGATGCATTAACTGTGTTCAAACATTTTATTCAATCGTAGTTAGATACTTCCAGGAATAAATGCATGTTCATATACACATCCGCAAATACCAGCAATCAGCACCAGTTGTAGAGGTTACCGAATGCCGTAAGTATGAAAGGACAGCATGTTTATCAGTTTAGACCTTATGTGCCTCGCCGGCCGTTTCGCACTCACCTGTGATGATGCGTGAATCGGGCGTCCAGGGCCGGTGGCGGCCGTCACCTGTGCGCCCGCAGTCGGCTCCTACCAGACGGTGGGAGACCAGCTCGAACGAGTCCAGGTACTCGCGGAAACTGACCGGGCCGCTCGGCCGGTCCGACACATCTGGCGGCAGACAGGTCGGATAGAACACCTGGTGACAGGCAGCTTTATGGCGTAGGCCGTACAGTGTCGACTATGAGGCCACATTGCTTATCTACAACCTGCACTCCATTATTTCATGACAGATTAATGACCATTGATCAGACTCTTCGCATGGCTAAACAGGGCACTGCTCAGGGATAATTCCTTGGCCGTCCGGACACATGACGTAGCAATATTTTAGAGCATCAGGTCGAGATTCAAGTCATGACCGCCTGTCAAAGATAGCTCCTAGTGTCGGGCAGCAGGCTGCTTTCTCAAGAGTCGGGTAGTCTCCTCTGACCGCATGATTCACCGTCTCGTCTCTATACCTCAAGACCGGCTGCGTCTCCTACCTCCGCTGGGCGCCGGGAAGCGCTGGCGGCTCCACCAGTGCGCATCGCTCCAGACGGTGCCACTAGCGACGCGCGGGTGCAGGCTGAGCCGGTGGCGCAGGTCGGTCGTGCCGCACTTGGGCTGACCGATCACGTAGACGAATGGCAGACAGCGGACGCGCACTGCGGTCACTCCGCCCGGCGGACGCCGCGCGTACGAGGCGTACAGCTCAGCCCTGGGGACACGGTTGCCGGTGACTGAGGCGGGACGAGGAACCACAGGGACGGACGGGGGTGTCTATAGGTGGATGGCGCATCCCTCGACAGGGAGGAGGCATTGTCATCCACAGCTCCCCTGCACTGCGGGACGGATGACCGTCGCGCTCGCGCTGGTGGGCGCTGTTCCAACTAACCTTCTGACCTAACCACGGCTGTGACGTGTCGCCGCAGCCTTCTGCTAAGGAAAAACCAGTGTTTGTTGTGTTGCTGCCTTCGAATGGCGTCTGCCGGCTGAGGGCTGGGTGTCCCCTCTGACAGGAGACGGAGTCGTGGCCTCCTTGACAGCACCTCGCTCAGTGTCTGGAATTTGGATGACCTCCCCTCGTAAGGGCTGTTCTGTGACCCACGGGCCGGTCGGCTGGGCGTGAGGAGCCCATGGACGGATAAGAGCCCCCAGCCGTGTGGAGCGTACGCTGGAAATAGCCGCCGGCTCGCCGCAGCGCCGGTCCGTCCAAATAAACAGGCGAGCCAGACTCTCGAACGGGCGGGGTACGGGATGACTTTGTGTTGCAGCCGTCCGTGGCAGACAATGGGACCCGGAGCCGCACTCACTGCAGTTCACGCAGAGGAGAGGGGCTGCTGGGACAGTGTATTTCAGTTGAATTTAAGCTTGGATAGAGCGGACGCTATTCAGAGGAATAGAGAGTGATAAGGTTTATTCTCGTCCAGTACGGGTTGCTCAGTCACCGGAGAGGAGAGTTGAAGGAGCTGGGGTTAGGGACAGTCATTTGTATAAAAATGTATATAATTTAATGAAGAGAAGAGTAGTTGGTGTTGTGCGGTTTATCAGCCTGATAAAAAGTGGTTATACGTTTAAAGTTAATACAAGTGCTAAAGGAAGCTGTCGTTATAGTAAAACGTTAGTGATTAGTCTTAATAGGTCGCTCGTTTTTGAATGAGCTGCAATAAATAATAATACCCTTGTGGTATGCGATGAGATTTACATGCACCGACCGTTTATGCAGTTTTATAAAAACAGTCTTGTCCTTGCGTTGCACATCATTGTTGCTGAGGTAGTCGAAATCCTCGGGCCTTAGTTCCTGGAGCCAGCAATGATTCTGAACTCCAGGCAAAAATCCAATCTGAAAATACGACAGACATAATTACCTGTCTGTCTCTGAGCAATGGTAAATCCGTCACCAGAAGTTTTGCGGTCGGCCTTGTTTTAGTTAGTACCTCCTGCGTTTGCCGATCGTATTACAATGCTAATGGTTTACGGCCATTATCTGGTCTACATATTTGCTACCATGGTGTTCTGCTGAGCTTTTACCAGCGGCCGATACTCACCTTTGCCAGTCTGCCCAGCCCCAGTGTGGGCTGGGTCGGCGGGGCCCCAGTGGGCTCTGACTGCCCATACTCACCTGCGGGTGGGCTGGGACCTAGCGACAGGGTCAGAGGACCGGGTCCCAGTAGGGTCTGAGAGCCCAGACTCACCTGTGGGTCGGCGGGATCCCAGTGAGGTTTGACTGCCCACTGCCCAGGCTCGCCTGCGGGTCGGCGGGGTCTCAGTGAGGTCTGATTGCCCAGACTTACCTGGGGGTCGGCGGGGTCCCATTGGGGTCTGACTGCCCAGACTCACCTGCGGGTCGGCGGGGTCCCGGTGAGGTTTGACTGCCCACTGCCCAGGCTCACCTGCGGGTCGGCGGGGTCCCATTGGGGTCTGACTGCCCACTGCCCAGGCTCGCCTGCGGGTCGGCGGGGTCTCAGTGAGGTCTGATTGCCCAGACTTACCTGGGGGTCGGCGGGGTCCCATTGGGGTCTGACTGCCCAGACTCACCTGCGGGTCGGCGGGGTCCGACTGGAAGCTGACGGCGGCGCTCAGGCGGCGCACACAAAAGGTGGGCTCGCCGCCGAACCCATGGCCAGTGACCAGCACCACCTCCGTCGGACGTCGCGCCGGCCAGCCTGCCAACAGTCGTCGCTCGTCACAACGGCGACGACGATATGCGTTACACGAACACATATTCCGATTTTATCTCAGACAATGCGGCTAGCACCGGGACGATGCGGGACAGCAAAACACTTTGAAATGTCTCTTTGTGATGCGTGTGTTGCATACTCTGTCCTGCACTTTTGCCGGCGTTTACGGTAAAGTTGATATCTCTCTACCGCGGTATCGGTTTTACCGCAGGTAAAACCTGCCTTTCTACCACGGTATCGGCGGGCTGTTGGTAAATGCCTTCCTCCTACAGCGGTATCGGTTGGCTATTGGTAAATACCTACTTCCCTACCGCGGTATCGGTTGGCTGTTGCCTGTTGGTAAATACCAACTTCTCTGCCACGGTATCGGTCGGCTGATGGTAAATACGTGCCTCTCTACCACGGTATCGGTCGGCTGTTGGTAAATATATACCTTTCTGCCACGGTATCGGTGGGCTGTCGGTAAATATATACCTTTCTGCCACGGTATCGGTGGGCTGTTGGTAAATGCCTACCTTGCTGCCACGGTATCGGTGGGCTGATGGTAAATACGTGCCTCTCTACCACGGTATCGGTGGGCTGTTGGTAAATGCCTACCTTTCTGCCACGGTATCGGTGGACTGTTGGCGCAGTAGAGCAGCAGTAGCGTCAGTCCGAGGGCGACCAGCAGCGATCGTCGACCAATGGCGCTGACACGACACAGGCGACTGGTGGCGCCCGACAGACTGCTGATCAATCCCGAGCCGGCCCTGCAACAGAGGCGCGCGGGGCACTTCTTTGAACCGTGTGGTGATAAATTACGTATGCACGTATAGAATGGACATTGGAACAATTTGGTGAGTGGTGAATAGTGAAACGTTCGTGATACGTTTGGTTGGCCTGCGTAAGCTTTGATATAGGGTAAGGTGCCTAATTAGCGACCCTTTCCGATTTGCGACCTACCTCCCTACAGAAAAACTGGCAGGAGAAAACGGGGTAAAAACATCGTCAAAAGGTCAGCCATACTTTGGTTATCAAATTAAATTATTTTCCGGTCGTCGATGTTTCTTGTGGGACGTTTCAGGTGAGTTTAAATAAAAATGACGAGTTTCTTATCCAAAACGTGTGTATTTGGGCCCTCTCTGACGAAAAGCGATGCACATTAGGATGATGCACCTTCTTTATTTTTAACCGACATTCCTTTTTTGAGTGATTGCCGTTTTCCCATAGTGAATCGCTCAACTGTGCACAGCATGGCGGTTAAAAATGTGTCGCAACTCATATTTCCTATTTGCGCCTGACATGGTCGCAAATAGCTCAAGAAGGGAAAGAAAGGGGAAAAGAGAGAAATGAAAATGAGGTGTTGGTGAAGCTTGCAATGTGTGGCAGGGGATGCCAATTGTCGTCACCGACTGCAGGGGTGCCGAATTCAGCGCGGACCTCGAATATCATACAAGATAGCCCGCAAAATTTGGGTTTCCGCCTTCTTCTCGCCTTCGGTGCATCACGTGATCATTTTTACTTACGTAAATGTGTTGGATAAGCGTTCCTGTTCGAGTGATTAAGTGCTTTGCGTATAGGCTACCTTTTTTGAGATCATATTTCATCTTTTCAGGCGTCGCATTTTTTGCCATTTTTGATATGGGGGAAACCCATAGACTAGACTTATTAGCGACCCTCCCCGGTCGCTAATCGGGAAGAGTTTCCTATTAGCGTTTTTTGCAATGGTTTGCCAAAATGCTCACTACAAATAAGTTAGTGAATATTGGGGCAGAAAATGACTATATTTTAATAGAAAAATGAACGATCTCTCCGAAAATCAAGCCAGTAACACAGTGCCACCTACAGAGCGTGAGCAATGACGGTTCAAATTAAGTGAGTCGCTAATTAGGCACCTTACGGGTAAGATGCCTAATTAGCGACCCTTTCCGATTTGCGACCTACCTCCCTACAGAAAAACTGGCAGGAGAAAACGGGGTAAAATATCGTCAAAAGGTCAGCCATACTTCGGTTATCAAATTAAATTATTTCCCGGTCGTCGATGTTTCTGGTGGGACGTTTCAGGTGAGTTTAAATAAAAATGACGAGTTTCTTATCCAAAAACGTGTGTGTTTGGGCCCTCTCTGATGAAAAGCGATGCACATTAGGATGATGCACCTTTTTTATTCTGAATCGACATTCCTTTTTCAATTGATTGCCGTTTTCCCATAGTGAATCGCTCAACTGTGCACAGCATGGCGGTTAAAAATGTGTCGCAACTCATATTTCCTATTTGCGCCTGACATGGTCGCAAATAGCTCAAGAAGGGAAAGAAAAGGGAAAAGAGAGAAATAAAAATGAGGTGTTGCTGAAGCTTGCAATGTGTGGCAGGGGATGCCAAATGTCGTCACCGACTGCAGGGGTGCCGAATTCAGCGCGGACCTCGAATATCATACGAGATAGCCCTCAAAATTTGGGTTTCCGCCTTCTTTTCGCCTTCGGTGCATCACGTGATCAGTTTTTACTTACGTAAATGTGTTGGATAAACGTTCCTGTTCGAGTGATTGAGTGCTTTGCGTATAGGTTACCTTTTTGAGATCATATTTCATCTTTTCAGGCGTCGCATTTTTTGCCATTTTTAATATGGGAAAACCCATAGACTTATTAGCGACCCTCCCCGGTCGCTAATCGGGAAGAGTTTCCTATAAGCGCTTTTTGCAATGGTTTGCCAAAATGCTCACTACAAATAAGTCAGTGAATATTGGGACAGAAAATGACTATATTTTAATAGAAAAATGGGCGATCTCTCCGAAAATCAAGCCAGTAATACAGTGGCACCCACAGCCGTGAGCAATGACGGTTCAAATTAAGGGGGTCGCTAATTAGGCACCTTACCCTATCGTCTGTACTTCAACTATACCTGATGTCAACTCCGTGCGGTGGTATCTTGAGATCGTTCATAGCGCCGCGCTGACACCGTAACCGCTCATTCCACCCAGGCTGACTGATTTGGCTGCAGTGCGTTCACTGTTCCGCTGCACCCGGCCGCCACGCACCCCTCTGCAACGTGCCACGCTGCCACGATGCGCCCGTTGCACTTCCGCTCTCGTCCGCACGCGTACCTCCGGCGCCGCGCTGCCTTCACAGTGAGGGACCCGGCTCAACTGACTGTCGGCTCGGCCGCGGGGTAGCCGGCCGTGCGCTCCTCTCAGCTCCCCAGCGGCGCCGACGCTCCGTCAGGGGGCGGCAAGACTGCCAGCCGGCCAACCGTCGGCGAGAAAGGAGGACAGGCGGCCGGTCTGAGGGGTGCAGGATTAGCAATGGATTCGTTTGAAACGGAGGACATTACCGTTTTGTGCCTTGTTCAGTTCGGTCCGTGAGATTCTTTCCGTTGCCGTCTGCCGAAGTGATCTGAAGGATGGAAGTGTGTTGCATGCCTGGCTGTTTTAAACAGGGCTACAGAGTTGGAGTCACAGAGAATTATGCAAGATCTCTATGGTCGGGGTCGGGGTCAGTCATAGGCGACAGTTCCGACCGGAGTCGGAGTTGGAGTCGGAATCGATTTTGGAAATCTGAAGCCAGAGTCGGAGTTACCATAAATCCATAGACTCCGCAGCCCTGGTATTAAAGCCGTCAGTTTTATGGATTTTATTAACATTTTATAGGTAGGAAGTAAGGATAATTTTTATCTATCACAATTCCGGTAGATGGATGGCAACTTTGAAATAGGAATTATGCAGCACTTTCAATCTGATCCTGAGTGCCAGCGTTTCAGTGTTGGTCGACATCTAAGGTCAATATGATGTAATACTTAACGATGGCTGAATCAGCAAATTCGGTCCTGTTGAATTTATTGAATCATATATCAATAACGATACACAGTTCTTTTTATGCGTACTAAGCACACCCCGGCCCGATTGCATATGGCCCCCACAGCGACACCCAGAAAAGGACTGGATTGGTAACACGCTGAAATCATCCAGCATGCTTCATTTATCTAACACATGAATAGCATGTCTCAACACTTGTCTAGGGCAGCATACACTCGTCTAGTGCTGCCGTAACTTCTACAACGTATAGCCGTTAACGACTAAATATATGTCATGTGCATCATAATATAACAAAGAGTGAATCCATCACGAATGCATCGAAACGGCCATCCTGCTCCCCATTACACCTACATATAGGCACCTATGGACCGGAAGACGTCACAGACGTTACATTAACTCCGGTGGCACCGGTGCGCGGTCCCAGTCAAAGCAGTGGCCACTGGCCGGCCCCTGACACACTGTATGTACAGTAGGTCTACAAAATAAGTCCTCTCCGTATGCGGACAGGTAGCGCCCAAGTAGCGCTCAGCCGCTAACTGCCCACTGGTTACCCGCATACGGCGGGGACTTATTTTGTAGACCTACTGTACCGAGAGGCGTCGGACACCATCGATATCGATATCATCGACACGGGGCACTCTGCCGACAGGGAGGGCTGCAACCGAGCCGGTCCCGCCGATCGTGACGGCTGACTGCAAGCTCCTGAGCCGATAAACCCTAACACACAACGGGTATACATTATGCAGCGTGCAGCACACTCCCCGAAGCGTTCCCCCTACCCGCCGGCTGTCCGGTGCCGTTCGCATCCCTCGAGCGGGATGAAGACCATGGCCTGCCCCTCCCCTGTCCCTCGGTGTCATCCGATCTGCGCGAGGGACGGCGGCAGAGCCCGCCCGCACTCTGGGCAGACGCGGCGCCCACAGCCGGAACCCATTCAACTGATGGATTGCCAGGGGTGTCCGCTTCGAAGGCCGGGGACCACGCGGGAAGGGAACGGTGGCAAGGGGGCTAGACGGACCGACCACGACGCGCGGATTCTGGGTCTAAGTGCGCCATCACCATATTATATATAACCGTTGGAAAGAGCACTAAAGCCATCCAATATTCTTCAACAATTTTGCATGATGGACAACAGTGTTCTTAGAAACATTAATGTTCCAAACCATAAGTTCATTTTTAGCGAAATTCATCGATTACTTTCAATAAGCTTGCAATCAGTTCTCGAATCCTTCCAAAGAAGAACGTAGAACGCATGTTAACCCGACACGGGCACCTCGATGCGATGGAACCTTTTTTCCGTACCAAAATGTTTGGCCATCAAAAAGGAATCCAACGAAATTGATACTAATCCAATCGACACAGGACCAGCTCAACACAGACAGGTCGAAAATAACCCTTCCTCGTGTTGCAGAGCCCGCGGGCCACCCTAGTTATGACTATTGCCACTGACTGGTTGCCTATCCACGTAAAAGGCAAGTTATGGTATTCGTACACCCCGGCCATTCCCACAGGCGTAACGAGCACCCGCGCCCGTCCTTCCGCCGCCCTGCAGAGCCGTATGCGGCACCCCCGCACTGCCTGAGCTGACCCGATGGCCAGCTTTCCTAGCGTCCCGTTCGGTCCATAGGACAGGGTACGAACGCTGACCGACCGTGCATTGAACCCGGACCTTAGTCCAGTAAACAGATGCGAGCCGACTGCACAGTGCACAGCCCAGTGTCTCCTTCCAGAGTGACGGCACGGGCGCTCCTCTCGGCCGCGCGGCGAAGGGCCGGAGAACGGAGTCTGCTGACCAGGTCACTCGGCTCACACCACCACCACGTCCAGGTGCACGTCCTTGCTGTGGAAGTAGCTGTAGCTGTTGTCGAACTCGAGGATGTCTGAAAAGATGGGCGGAATGTCACTTCGAGTAGAGTTGCGCATGGATTGGCATTTCGAAGAGTTCTGATTAAATGGCACATAGTCATTTGATCAAAACTAGAATATACAGTTGACACATCACTATTTAATCGGAACTAGAATATAACAGCTGGCACATAAAATACCGGGTGATCATTTTTGAATGATACAAAAACATTTGTTAATATCAGCCATGTGTTAAGCTGGATAGTTAAACCAAACACACCCATCGAACACGTACGGTGGGACATTTTATCTGGAACACACAGTCAGTCATTAATGTCAATAGCCAGCTTAGAGGAGGTGCCCAAAGTATGCACCCCTCGCCGACCGCGGACCAGCTGAGCTCCGCTCGATGCCGGGTTTGTCTGACCATTTTCTGCTGATTATCGCCGTCCCATGCTCCGGGTAAAGTCTCCTTCTACCACTATTAGATGTGCAAGTGTCTTCGGCTCACATCTGACTACACCTGTCATTAGGTGAGGCCAGACACTCAAGTACAGTCACGAGAAGTCCGGGCTGTAAGACGGGCGGTCGTGCTCGCTTATTCGCAAGCTGCAGGCTTACCAGCTTTGGGGCAAGGGAACTCAATGACAGGCGCGGATGTGCGTGGAGAAGCACACTCTTGTTGAAAAGAGTGTCGGAGACGCGTGAATTAGTCATACAAAGCCGGCCAAACGACAGGTTACAGCATTCTCTAGAAGGCCGTACCGTCCCCGGGTCCGCCAAAGCAGTGCACTCGAACGCACTTCCATCAACAATGTCCACTTCGGAATTTTTGTTATTCTTAGTGTCTCCGTGCACTCCAAGATCCTTTGCAGGTTCCAGGAAGCCCGTATAACCGTGCTATTGCCTTTGCACATGCGCCATGAACTAAAATTTGTTGTGTTGCAAAGCCATCCAGCTGAGATATTGCATCGTTACACTAAGATGTCCAAAAAGGTATGCTATAAACGGATGATATTTACCGTACCTTAGGACGGACTTGGACAATGTTGATAAAAAACGAAATGTCCAAATGTCCCTCATGTAAACCAGCACGTGAAATCAAAATATCTCGTCCTATCTTTGCACGTGGCGACTTTCTTTTTGTATCATTCAAAAATGATCACCCGGTATAAGAGTGCGTACTCGGTACGGTATTGCAATCCTGCACTTGTAACTGGTGACCGAACAGAGCTTAGATATAAACCCGGGATGTTGGGTTTTGTTTTAGAGCCTTCATCTAGTCGGCCTGGTGCTGCCCTCTACTCACAGACTCCGGGCTCGTGGCAGACGTGTTTTCCGGCCTCGACCACCAGGTGGCTGTAGACGCGCTCCTTAACCACCACCTCGTGGCGGCCCGAGTTGTGCTCCTTGAACACGCCGAACATGATGTCGTACCCCTTGGTGCAGAAACGCCATCTGAAAACACATCAATGTCCACAAAAGAGTTAATTTATTGTCTGCGATTTCATGCAGTTGATTGAGATTCTAGTGATGCATAGGTACTGTTTGATGTGAAACCTTTTCCTTACATATCGACTAATCGACTCCAGGCACAGCCACTCACGTCACCTTTGTTCGAAAATTGGACAAAATTCACAGACGTTTCAGGCGCCCTTGAGGCAGACGCCGATGAACCAAGCTAGGGTCGTTACCAGATGCTCATTGTTTGTCCTCAGCTCAATGCCTTTCCTATCCCCAGAATGCTGTGCGCTTGGCCCTATCGCTCTCACTATGCCCAGGATGCCAGATGGGTGCCTGTGCGCTCACGTGATCTGGGTGGCTGGCCGGTTGACGTCGATGCGGTGCTCATATTTGCCGGCTCGGCGCACCTGCAGTCGCCGGCCGTGCAGCACGAGCTTCTCCACCTCGTGAGGGTCCTGGAAGTAACTGGATGGCACCTCGCCGCCGATACAGATCTGACGGGAAAGAGTGAGCGAGCATCGAGCGTTATGTAATATTCGAGGATGAAGGATTGCAGAAGGACAGATGAAGAATTGGCATTAATTACCGGTTTGTTACTTCAGCATGCTTGCACGTAAAGGTGGCACGTTTCACAGCGTCAGGAATGTATGCCATTGCTTGTGTCTACAGAAAACAATGACGAGCCGTTGCATTTTACAGCTCGATTGGATTGCTACAATCATACTCCCAGCGTTCTCAGCCGCATTGAACTCGCGTACCTTTGGCGAGAAGTAGGGGTTTCCGTCTGCGCCCACCAGCGCCCCGCCCCAGTGTTTGGGCAGCTGGTCGGGGGCGATCAGGTCGCGCAGCCGCTCCTGCCAGCCGGTGTGACCGAATATCTGGATCTTGCTCTGCGTGGTGCCCCGCAGCAGCGGCCGCACCATGGACCAGGCGACCGTGAAGACGGGCGGCGCTGTCGGAGGCACGGGGCGCCGGTCAGGTGGCACCTAATGTAACGCTATCGGGCGCAAAACGACCACTGCAGTCAGCGCGCCCCAAAGTAAACAAACGAGTCGCAGAGCGATAGGTCGACAGATCACACAGAGGGTTTGGATAGAGAGGTTACCGGCCCGAGCAAAAAGTGCACAGTGTTAATCGGGCTCGCAAAAAGCGTGAAATAAAACGTGACAGGGCAGAATGTCTTGCAATTTCTTCGACAATTTATACCCACAGAGTGGTGTATAATCGTTGAGTTTATCCACCCTGGTAACTAGCAGCCGTAAAATGCTGCTGTCAGTGTTTGCGAGAATAAAACCTGAACTGTTTGGGCAAAATGTAAACACCGGACAGTTCTGCTCGAAAAACGCCGCAGAGTGGCCTCGGTTCAGAGCCTAGCCCAAACGTCGTTCGGACTATTGTTTGGAAACATGTGGGTTGGGTGACGGTTGGGACGACCCTTTTGTTGAAAGGTCAATTGTATCAAACTCTTGGGTTTAGAGGACCTAATAACTTTGTTGAATACGTTAAATATATTCCTAGCAATTCATCTTCAACATTAAAACTAACCAGCAGACAAATAAATGCAATTCTAAGATAATCGCATGCCAAATATTTCTACCCGAAGCCGGACAAATGGCGACAAATTAGCAGCGAGGGATATGAAATGTGCATCGAAGTCAAAACTGGCATAGCCGCGCTCGGCACATGTCCCTTTCAACAGCACTTTATTGAGTAAGTGGACGTATTGACCGGATCGTACCATTTATCACGTAGCACACGCCCAGTCCCTCGGGGTAGTTGGCTTCCATCAGTCTCGTCATGTCCAGGAACAGCTCAAAGCCTGTCGGAGTGGGGCACAGTGTCACAACGCCGCCAGACACATTGTGCGAGTGTGTGTGTCTAGAGGAGAGGCGCGACGTTCGGTTATGTACGATAAAAGGTAACGTTATAGTAATGCACTATCTGATAGGACCTCCTTAGTCGTGAACAAGCACTGCGCTGCGATAGACATGGACAAGCCGGTCATGCAGAAAGAAACACGGGTCACTTTATCTGGGATCGAATCCAAATAATGATAAGTACTAAACAGACCATCAAGAGAGCTACACAGAAACTGAAGATAAAGCAAGAAGGACATGGTCGACGAAAAAGAAGAGAGAGAGAGAGAGAGAGAGAGAGAGAGAGAGAGAGAGAGAGAGAGAGAGAGAGAGAGAGAGAGAGAGAGAGAGGGAGGGAGGGAGGGAGGGAGGGAGGGAGAGAGAGAGAGAGAGAGAGAGAGAGAGAGAGAGAGAGAGAGAGAGAGAGAGAGAGAGAGAGAGAGAGAGAGAGAGAGAGAGAGAGAGAGAGAGAGAGAGAGAGAGAGAGAGAGAGAGAGAGAGAGTCAGGTAGACAGGCAGAGACAAAGGATGAGGTAGACACAACGTAGAAAAGAAAAGCAGACCGACAGACAGATAGACGTCATGGAGCGTCGGGCCACGTCAACAGTCAGAGCCCACCTTCTTTGTAGGCGATCTGCGCCATGCTCAGACATTCCAGGTCGAATATGATGAGGAACTGGTTGACTGGCACGCCCGTCTTCTGCGATATCTCCAGCAGCTGGTGGCCGCCCGTCTCGAAACACCACAACCTGATGTAACGTCACATAGCCCAGGTCAGCTCAGTCGAGCCCTGGTTCTCGTGGTCGAATGCCTATATCGCACCTTTCCAAAAAATCCGTCTTTTGTTTCGAACTATTTTTAATCGAAGGTTCAAGACATTCAAGGCAAGTCGCATTCAAGGCAAGGCAAGTTAATTCAAGGCAACTTAATCGCTTACGTCACGAAGTACTCACGCGAATTTGACAAAGTCCGTCTTCTTGCAGGACCGTACCATGCCTCGGATGTCCATCCGTCCCAGGCAGCCGATAAATACTGTAAACGAGAGGATGAATGATTCAAAACGATATAAGTGCACTGACCTGACCGGGCCTCTCCTTACAGTAAAATACGATACGATGTGATTCACCGGCGATCGAGATATGATGTCTTCCAGTTTACCGTCCTACAGAATATCCGACAGTCAGAGACGTTGTGTGGGGCATTATCATTATGTTGCATTAAAGGCAATATTTATAGACGTAACACTATGTATATTGTATACCCAGCGGATTCGGTGCAGGTCGCCCCCTTTCATTGTTCCGAAGAAAGTTTGAGAGGGAACATCTAAAACCATCCAGGAATGTTCAAAGGACAAAGACAACTAAATTCATTCGAATCCTGCATTTTTAGTCTCTAGATCATTCAGACTCATTCGATATTCAGTTCGTTCTGCCGTTCAAGCCACGGGTCCAGACCTAGCCGGTCTCCTATCCCTATACCTCCCCCCCCCCCCCCCCATAAGAGAGCTGTGGCCACCGACGATCACTGACTGAAACCGAACAGTCACCGACTGAAAGTCACTGACCGACGATCACTGACTGAACACGGTTCGTCGGAAGGTCATCTCAGGCTCAAAAGAAACGGTATATACCATTCGAAAGCTGACGGAGAGCCGAATCCAAAAATGTAATTTTTATCAAAATCGATCGAATATCGATGGCCTTTTTTGAAAATTGCGTTTTTGTAAAAACTTAATAACCTTTTATTCAACGGGCTGTCCCGGACATTCTTGAAAACATAAACATGTATTATTGAGTTCCAGTGAAAGCTGAACGCCAAAAGAACAATATTTAGCGAAGCAATATTTCCAAACATTAATATGCGTCTCCCACAGCCGAAAATAAGGCGCAATCACACATCTCAGTGTCACGATGGACCAAAGTCAGCCACACAGAAGCGTGAAATGACCCTTATCGACTCGCAGACCCGGCGCTCTCGGCCCGCCTGACCGGCCACGGAAAGAACGTTCGGCTCTCGTTCTACTAAACAAATGTCATATTTGTCACTTTAACTGTCCACATCGCTATTAAAGTTATTCAGGATACCTGGGAAGAAAATTCATTGTTCTGCTTGATTAACAACATGCTTTAATTTACATTTTTCTTATGCATGTTTTGTTCCATCCAGCTGCGATCAGTGCCCGCGCAGGGGAAGTGAGCGGGGTTTCACTGTCAGAGGCTGTACTGGTGACAGCTGCTCGGCCGTGCGACCGGTCAAAGGTTACCCTGCCCCGCCGGGCGCCACCCCCACTCCACCCGAGCTGAGGCCGGTGCAACCTCTGACATTTCAGCGCGGCCAATTTTCCTTATATGGGCATGATACCAAGCTCAATTGAGCAAAGTAGACATGAACAAATGCAAATTAATGCATGATGTGAAGATGACAGAACAATGAATTTTCTTCACAGGTATCCTGAATAACTTTAACAGCGATGTGGACAGTCAAACTGACAAATTTGATATTTGTTTAGTAGAACGAGAGCCGAACGTTCTTTCCGTGGCCGGTCAGGCGGGCCGAGAGCGCCGGGCCTGCGAGTCGATAAGGGTCATTTCACGCTTCTGTGTGGCTGACTTTGGTCCATCGTGACACTGAGCTGTGTGATTGCGCCTTATTGTCGGCTGTGGGAGACGCATATTAATGTTTGGAAATATTGCTTCGCTAAATATTGTTCTTTTGGCGTTCAGCTTTCACTGGAACTCAAAAATACATGTTTATGTTTTCAAGAATGTCCGGGACAGCCCGTTGAATAAAAGGTTATTAAGTTTTTACAAAAACGCAATTTTCAAAAAAGGCCATCGATCGATTTTGATAAAAATTACATTTTTGGATTCAGCTCACCGTCAGCTTTCGAATGGTATATACCTATCGTTTCTTTTGAGCCTGAGATGACCTTCCGACGAACCGTGTGAAACCGGACTGTAGCCGAATGAAAGTCACTGCCCCTGGGACCGGGCATTCAACGACTGAAAGTCACTGACAGACTGTCATTGACTAAAACAGGCAGCAGCCACTGAAAGTCACTGAGACCGGGCAGTCAGCGACTGAAAGTCACTGACAGACTGTCACTGACTGAAACAGGCAGTAGCCGACTGAAAGTCACTGACTGAGACCGGACAGTCAGCGACTGAAAGTCACTAACCGACAGTCACTCACGGGGCATTCCTGTTTTTGTCATGCCGTGGTAGCCGCGGGGGAAGAAGTCCTTGAGCACGGCCGGCGGCTGCCACTCTTCTAGCAGCTGGTTGACCCGGTGCCGCTCGCGCCAGGCCATCGACTGTGAACGGACGGCACACACGTCATGGTGGAGTCAGGAGGTCATCAACGTGACGAGGTGGGCGGGTGTGCGGTGCGTGCCACATCATGTATTCGGTGATGTGAGATGTCAGAAACATTCACACAAACACTGGCCGTGTCAGTTGTGGTTTGGAATAGCTGGCAGCAGCGCTGGCCACCACACCAGTCCCCCGCGGGCGCAGGCGCAGGCCTCGGGTCCATCCAGCCACTGTTTGACCTTGTCTCGGTGCACGCAGGGAGGCACCGGTTCTGACGTCACACGAAAATATCAGTCGGCTGGTTGTGGCACTGCCCCCTGCCGGCGCGACTGTGCTGCCACCTAGCTAAGCCTAGTCAGCCTAGGACGGGACGGTTTTATTTGTTCTCGTCTAGTGGTGCAGCTTGCGACGACATTCTGTCGACATAGCTGTCCTGTGCTGCAACATACCCCAGGTTCGGAGTCTCTCGGACGGCCAATCCTGTTCCATAACCACAGCTAAATCCCCGCTGACCTTAACCAGGATTGGCCGGACGACGTTGAATCTTCGTAGTTCGAGAGACACCGAACCCGGGGATAGTCTATCGAAGCCTTGGCGGCTGAAGAAAGGCTAGACATATCTCACTTGATTTAGGCGTGGCCAGCCTCACTCCTGTAGTTTTGCTTCACAGAATTCTGCGTCCTATTGAGTTTCCGGTTACGTAGTACACGACCACGCTCAGGAACTCGATGTTTCTTAGATACATCACGTAATGACAAACTTTTGGCAGCATTTACATTGGTTGCCTGCATATTTTGGTGAGGAAAAATCGCTATCGCAGTAGTACAGTCAAGACATACCACAAAGGATCAGAGCTAAAGCAGTATTATTAACCAAAAGTGTATTGCATTGATCACCAGCATGTTCGTAAAATAAAATACATCAGGAATAAAGATGACAACCAAGCCGCATGGACACTTATAACAAACATGAACGATAAAGTGGCAACACAAATGAAAGAGAGAAGATGAATCTGCCCTTCGCAATCGTCAACTTAAGATAAAACTTCAAATATACAACAGACCTCTGTGCATTAAAAGAACACGAATATACTCGCTTTGTCGTCGACACATAATGGGAGGAACATCCTGGCGGCCCACCCAAACAGCGCGCCCGCCTTCGAGTAGGAAATAGCAGCGGCCGCAGAAGTGGCCAACAGATAACTACCACATTGTTCGTCACGCCACCTGCACTGAAACGTAACAGCTATTTAAAGGGACACTCCCACCTTAACATTAGTTTTGAGTTGAGATAGCCAAATTGGTGGCCATGGCCTGCAAATACCGGTTTGGGCACTCACAACATCGACAAATGCTTTAATTCGGAGATATGGAATTTCAAACTTGCAGTTTTCGGATTCTAAGGGGCTAGTGCATTGGTATGCCCCCTTAGAATTTGTGACGTCAGCGGAGATCTAACGATTTTTAAATCTTTTACTAAAACGTTTGGTAGCACGCGGTGGTATAAGCTGCTTTGCGCGCAACAAATGCCGCACTTTCAAATAAAGTCGCTAGGAACAGCGGAGATCCCAAAAAGTAAACAAAAGTAAAAGTCTAATATCTTGAAAACCGGTGAATATTTTTCGATGAAATTTGGTAGATATTCGTTTTCGCTCTTTCTGAACCGAGCGACATCACTTTCGTGCCAATTCATTAACTTTTTTGAAGGTGGGAGGGTCCCTTTAATCGTGAAATGTAGCTATCCATCCAAAAATGCTGCACTACACCAGCACCACCGCACAGTTAGCAGATAGGTACGGAACGCAGGTCCTGGTCTCTGTCTCTTCCGAGTAGGGTCTCCGGACCGGTCACCAGCGCCACCATCTCCGCGCGGTAGCTAAAGCACAGCTCTCCGGCCGGGGCCCGCAGTTCCTCGGCCTCTTCGTCCAGCCTTGTCCTTGTTTTGACGTGAGTGAATGTGCAAATGTTTTGAACGATTAGATTAGCAGCCGCGGATACGGATTCTGAGCAGTAATCGCCACGCACTTTGTATGCGGATCGCTCTTAAATGTAAATACAAATACAAATACAAATACAGCCAGACCAGCACGGCTCCCGCCCAGCACCTGAAGACTCCGCCCTCCGCAGATCCGTCCGTCCAAAGCCGGACAGCACACAGGGGCAGGAACGCGAGGTGCAGCGTAGCCACGATTTCCCTTTCCGCCGCCGTGGCCCCAGCCCGGATCGGGCACACGTCCAACCGGAAGGTGACGCCAGCCGTCTGTTGACACGGTGGGATTCTCGCTCTCGCCCAGGCCTGGCGGCCTCGCAATCTCCAGCCTCGTACCGAAGACAGGCGCGCCGGTGCCGAGGCCTTGGCGGTCGCGCGCAGGGGGTCCCCTTATGGCAGAGCCAGCGCCCTCCCCAGCAGCCTGGCAGCCAGCGTCCAGCTTCTCTCCTCCATCGGAGAAAGTCGGGCTTCCGCCATTAGTGCGTGGCACGGTGTTGAGCGCGGACACAGGTGATGATGCGGCCGCCTCTCGCAGTCCTCGCTCCAGAAGATTCACGTGCGAGGGAGCGGCCGCCGGCAGCCACGCGACGGCAGCGTGTTCGAGCGCCCCTCGGGCCTCGGACGTAACCGATTGGCCACCGTACTAAGGGCACCCTCGTCCAGGCCCCAGCTATTCAACCAGGTCGACGGCGCCGTAGCCGTCACTCGAGCCACGCCACAGAGCTCACGCCTCAAAGCGGTTGGCTCTCCGGTCCTCGGCATCCGGCATCCGCAGTGATTTGGCGTAGCCAGGACAGGTGAGATGCCGGCCTCAGTCATAACCGGAAAGCCTGTAAAAAAAAAACAATATGTGATTGACAAATGGAAATATATTGTAAGCATAGAGTTGAGAAATCATGATGCACACTGCATTGTGACAGTAGATACTTTAGTGCGATTGGCAGAGGAGGGACTTATTGTAAGAAAACAATGAGCAATTGAGGCATTGATTTGGTTCTGTAGGTAGCTACCTACCCTTCACATATGAATGTGGATGATTTGTACCATTAAGAAAAACCATAGGCGTAGGAGCGGAGGGGGGCATGCCCCCACTTTTCAGCTATGCTAATTTTTAAAGTAAAATATTTATTTTTCATTTAAATTCAAAACTAAGAGCAAGAAATGGTTCGGCAAGGTGAGATGAGCACGAAACTGCAAAGAATTTGTTCATAGGGGTATTAGGGTTCCCACAAAGTGACATTAAAGTTTTCTGCCCCCCCAAACTTTACGTGAGGTTCCTGCGCCCATGGAAAAAAAAACACATTGCATTATGTGCATCAACACTTAACCCTTGCACGAGGGCCACAAAGCCCACTATAAAGCCCACAAGACACCATCTGAAATCAAAGCATGACAAATGATAGCATATAGGCACCTGACGGCTGACCTACTACATATAACCTACTGAACAAAACATACCACATATATCAATATGTATGTGCAGATAAAGAATGAATGCTAGGTTGAAACCAAGGCTGTTTAGTAGGTTGTAGGTATGCTGAAAGGATGAAAGACGGGTATTTGTTCAAAAAAATATCTGATCTACAGTTCATATGAAAATGCAACATGGGGTTAGGTAAGGTTTGATTTTTGTTTTGTACCAGACTGGAAATAATACACGTTATGCCTAATATGTCCGGCATAGTGGCGGGATTGCGCCGAAAATTTCAGCGCATGTCCGGCGTAGGTATCTTCGCATGCGCCTAATTCGGCGCATGGCGGCGGACGCCATAGCCTTGATATAGCCTTGATCGATAGATGTGCACATGTGCTTTATATAAAAAGGGCTTAATTTTTGCACAAATAGGTACCTAATTTTTGGCGCAAATTACACAGAAATTTCAGTGTCTGGGTACCTACCCACCTTCCTGTCAAGCTGATACTTGACACATCATCCTGCTATCTGAGGCGGCCCAGGAACCAGCTCAAGCAATTACAATGAAAGTCAACAGTCGTGCGGGAATTACACCACTCCCCATTAAAATCTGATATCAAGTAATTAGTTAATGACGATAATCCCGCCGCCACAAATCTAACGAAACACATTGACCTTTGATATTGATATTAATTTGATATTCTGAAAAGAAATATCCATAATGATTTATAGTGAACGTGTTCTTACGCAGTTGTGACATAAGCTGCGCACACGAAAAACACCCGCTAGACCAATTGGTGGCGAATAAACCTGTTGATGAAGAAATACTTGTCTCCCATTGGTCTGTGAACACAATCTGCAGGAAACGCAGCTAAAACTACAGTAAAATTTTGCAGCAAAATCTGCAGAAAGTAAGAAAAATGCAATTTAAACATATTTAGCCAATGAGTCTGACGGATCTGTTGATATATTCCGATAGATATTGAGCACGATCAGTCATTTTGAAAGAATTACGGTCCGACTCACTTTATTTTTAAAGCAATGACGCATAAAAGAATTAGTGAAAAATTGACAAAAATATTTTCTTGGAAGAAAAAGTGGGACTTGCGTTAAATTAAAAATCAAAATTAATACACGGATCGAGACCTCGCTTTCAAAAGTATTTATCAGTGCATTTTCGCATCGAATCTCTCTAAATCATGAACAAACTTGGGCAAAAACAGCAAGATTGCCTGTTTTGTCAATTCACACATTTTCATATTTGGGGGCAATTTTAAAGTTGATGGCCAATGTTTTCAAAGTCAACATTTCCACAGGAAAAAATACAGCTATTTTTCTTCCAAATTCATCCATTTGTAGAGTCCGACTCTCTCTTGTTTTCTCGCAGTTTTCGTTGTGCTCTGAGAGAAACGATCATGTGTATCATAGGCGTTTGGTTCACTTGAAGATGACAGAATTTGCACTTGCATTTTCTGCCGTGTGGAAGACCAGAGGGAGTCAGCTAATTTATGACAGAATGTGCTTAAAAAATGACTGGTGAATAATATCTTTTGTCAGTGTCTGACAAATATTTATAATTTAAATCACGCTCTTCAGCTG